GAAGGGCTTCCAAATTTTCTGATCTTCTGAAAGAGTTCATTTACTGTGCCTGCAGGCTGAGAGGGAGAAGTAGGAGAGAATTCAATTTCATTAAAGACCAGCCACTGACTGCACAGAAAATCTCTTGAATGCAAAATAAAGGCAGAAGTCCTGGAGGGAGAGCCCTGGGCACTTCTAACCAAACCCACAAGTGGCTCTTTCTCACTCAGTTGTGGAGGTCGGTGATGGAGCCTGAGCTCCACAGATGGGCTCAAGCTTTGGTAAGAGTTGGGAGCTCCTGTGGTGATAGGCTGGGTTGGAAACAAGCAATGGAATATCAGCCTTTGATCTGTGCAAGAGATGGGGGCTACTGAATTAATACTGGCATTTGTTTATGCTGTGAACCTGAATTGGTACTCCCAGGTTTATTTTCCTGGGAAGAGCACACATGCCCCAGGACAACACTGGATTGTCAGCAGATGACTATAAATTAGCTGTGCTTAACTGGCTGAATCAGGATGTTTTGACCAGTATCTCGCAATGCTGAGAAACTGGCAGGATCTGAAACATTAAAACAGCAAAAGCCTGTCAAAATTTCTCACAAGTCACCTTTCAGCTAAACAGAAGTACAACCCAACTATTAAGAGAATGCTGTCATATTTAAAATATTTTTAGCATAGTTTCCATTGCTTTTGCATTTGTGCTCTGTCCTGTTCTACCCCATCCTCAAAAATAACTTAAATCTTTTGGCCAGTTTCAGTGAAATGAAAGATCTCGCAGACAGCTGACTAAATCCCAGTTGCATGAAAATTAAGGGCTCGGTGGAGATGATAAATCCAAAGATTTCCTCTGCTTTAGGCAGGGATTGCCAAGGAAGTTTGGCTGGTTCCTAGGCAAGCCCAGCCAAAGAAAGATCTGTGGTCTGCAGACACGGAACCTGGCGCAGCGCTGGCTTCCTTCTGCTCTAGCAGTAGTTGGAGGACAGAAATGGGAGCTAAACTGCTCCCTGTGCAAGAGGACCCTGGGGAGGGTGCTGGGGCAGTGGCCTCGGTGGGAGGGGTGAGGTGGGGAAGGTGGGAAGAGAAGAAAGCCTGCAAGGAATCAGGATTTATTAGTTCCTCTGTGTATGGCTGAGGAGAGCTGGGGCCATATGCCTACCTTGGGTTTATAGCCAGTGATGGAAGATTTGAAATGGTTTTTCCTGTTGAAAAAAAAGGCAAAAAAGCCAAAACTTTCCCTTCCATGTAGAAGACCCATGTAACCAAAGAAATACTCTGAGAGGGAACGAGCCAGATGAGCTGAATACAGAGTTCTATCATATGGAGAAATTAGGTGCTGTTGCAAAAGGGAATATTCTTTGAACTGCTGTTACAGTTGCTGATGTTAGCAATCAGCTGCAGGTTAGCTGTAAGTAAAACAAATTCAGGAGGGTAATTAAGGAATGAACTTCTCTACCATGTGCAGTTCCCCAGAAGTGCAGGGGACTGGCTGGGTTGTTGCATAACAACACACACAGGATTCGAACAGTTGAGGTCAGTTGTTTTCACTGGCCCGTTCTGTCCGTGGAAAGAAAGAATGTAGTGAGTGTACTTCATCTTTTTTTAAACCCTGCTAAGGGGCCTTTAAAACTTTTCTTATAAAACATGGTTTATACAATTTTTTCATCCTTCCCTTCAGCTTCCCACCTCCTCAAAAAATAAACCCCGGCTCTTTCCCTCCAAGGTCTGCTGTACCCTGCGTGCTCCATCACTTCTATAAAACTTCTGATTTTACAGTTGCAGCATCCCCATGTCCATGCAGAGGCAACAAGAGTTTTCTGGCCTTCTGCTCTAGGTCTGTATGATTTTATGGTGTTATTGCAAGACCACCACCTTCTTTCCCAGTCCAGGGCTTTTTTTTCCCCTCAGTTCCCTGGATAAATGTAGTGCCATGAATAAAATAAACACTGCTGTCAGTCTCTCTGCATATTTTTTCAGTGTGCTTCATTATACAGGATTCTTTCAAAAGAAATGTAACTCACAGTCTTGGCTGGTTCCCAGCACCATTAAAGGTCTGCTGGCACTTTTCTTAAGAATCTGGCATTTTGCTTCTCTTTTTTTATAGAAATTCATTTCGCCTTCTGCTCTGTAGAATGTCTGCTGCCCTTTAGCCCAGCTGTGGCTGCAAAGTAACCCCTCTCTGGCACTTGCAGGTACCCTTAGAAGTTTTTGGAGGTAAAAGGAGTCAGTGACTTCTTCATTCACTACCAAACAGGCCCAGTAGATGATACAGACTGAGATGTGAGTCCCTAATCCTGGAGTAAAAAAAACCCAAAAAGTTCTGTGAATGGCTCATTGTTAATAGGACATGAAGTCGTGTTCATGTGTGCAAGGTAAGGATCTGACTGATCTGTTTGGCAGCATTGCCTTTATTGGTTTTGTTTTGGGGGAGGTGGGGGGGGGGGAAGGACAGAGGATTTTTTTCTTTTTGGTTTGTTTTTGAAAGGGAAACAGTTTCCTGATAGTGATGGTGAAGTTCAGCAGTGACACTTTTGCCTGTCCCCTTAGTCCTGTGCAGCTCCTCAGCAGGGTCCTATGGGGACTTAAGCAGCTGCTGCCTCTGGTCCCAGCTGTGAGAGCTGGTGGCACCCCTGGGGCTGGGGACTGTCACCAGAGGCTGAAGCCTCGGGGGCTTCAGGGCTGCTCCGTTTGTTTTCCAAGGCTTCAGGGCTGGAATCCAGGTTGGAGAAAGTCTGCAGGGGCCAATGTTGTAGGTGAGGAGAGGAGTAGGACTCACTATCACTTTTGGCTACTGAAGCTGCACTTTTTTAACCAGATGAAAAGCCCAGGAGTCCCTCACTGTGCTGTGGTGTGTGCCCAAGAGATCCTGGCCAAACGGGCATCGTTCTCCCAGCCTGTGGAACTTGGCAAGAAGCCCTCAGAGGCTGCCCTTCGCCTCAGCATCTTTCTGTTCTCTCTGCTTCTCTCTGGACTTTCCTCAGCTGGCAGGGCTGGTTTTTGACTCCCAGCTATGGGATCCAGGTCTCCTCGCTGTTCCTGAGGCGCCTTTCCTGGTGGTGTCCTGCTGGGAGGCTGCAGTGCCCAGCTGTGGCAGGATGTGGTGACATGGGATTGTCACACATGGCATTGTTCAGCAGAATTACAGAGAACTGACCTCACAACTCCCCACCATCCCAGACAATTTTCCTTCTGCTTAAAATCTGTGCCAGAACTCGCAGTTTCTTTTTCTTGTATTAATTCCTACTTCTGACTCGGCAAAATTATTTGCCCACCTCCCATGCTGCTCGTGGCTTCAGAACCAGTGCACACCACGCTCCCACACTGGGAAAATGCACTAAGGCACTCAAAGCTACCCCATGTTTTCCTAAAGCAAGTTCTTTATTAGCTTTTGAGGGTGGGGCTTGGCTTTTTTCTTTTCCCCCAGCTGAAAAGCTGAGAAAAAGCTTCAGCACTTTTTACATCGAGAATTTCAAGGAGGAAAAAAGCCTCCTGTCTGATGCCAAAGTTAAACTCTAATCACTGCTCAGCTCTCTTGGAATTTGGCAGCATACCAGTGCTCCTTCCCTTTGGTGGATCACATGGAAATACCGGAGTCTTTTCTTAAAGAACCTCTCAGCTCTTTTCAGGTACTTGCACAGATGTAACTTTTCTGTTAGAATTCTAATGCCTTTTACACTCTCAAATGCATTAAAGCACCATTTCTAATAAGCACCATTCAGATCTACAAAATTTTATGTTTAAGCATTAAAATACTTTTAAGTGTGTTCAAGCTACATAAATGCACTTTAAAAACCTGGCTTTAAATTGATATCCCTATTCTGCTGGAATAGAGTCACAGTTTTAATCTTGGAAATAGCATTTAAATGTGCTTAATGAAAAGAGCCCACAATTGGTTCACAAGTTTATGAGAGGTTGTAGGAACAGCTGAGATGAAAGTTGAGAGATGAAGGTCCCTGTGTTCAGTTTGTTCATTGAGAATATTTAAGATTCTCTTTCAGCTGCTTTTTACACCTAACTCAATAGTTGGTTTTAATTTATGACCAGTGTCCTGAAGACTCTTTCTGATGGGGAGTTTTTAATTCTGTCAAAGCTGACCTAACTGTTCTGTAACAGATCATTTAATTACAGTGTCTATGAACAGCATACTTGGATTTTCACCTCAGTGCTGCTTCTTCCTTGTTTTCACTCTTCAGTTACATTTTAGCTCACGTGAAGAACGCAGTGATTAATTCCCTGATCTGATTAGCTCACTACTATGTTGGTGTCTTGAGTGCTGATCACTGCCCCTGTTCCCCATTTTCCTGGTCCCCATGAGCAGGCACACAATGGAATGGCAGGCTGTGCTGGAAACTCGCAAAGCCAAAGTTATCTGAGAGCGATCTGATCCGCGGGGATGAATGCAGTAACCTTTCTCCCGGATCACTACTTCTATTTACACATTAAACTTTCCTTCCCGTGCTGCAGAGCTGAAAAGGTGCCGTATCAGGCAAGAATGTGTGTCAAGGATTCCTTTGTTAAATGTTGGCAGCAACCTCAGCAGGCCTTGCCAAGTCAGTCCAGCCCACCCACCCATCCAGGAGCACGCTGGGGATCCCAGCCCAGCCTGAGCTGGGTGTGCTCCCTCCTGGCAGGGCTGTGCCCCGGCAGCTGGGACACTCAGGAGCTGCTTCCAGCCCTCCCCTTGCTCACTGTGCTCTCCCTGCCTCAGGAATTGGCTGCCCAGAACCAGAGGGGTTCGGTGTGTCCACACCTCTCAGCACCCCACACTGCTCTCATGATTTAAATACATTTACACTCCGTGTCCTCCACTCCAGGGGAGAAGGAAGTTATTAACAAGTTTGCAGAAGGGTGTGCTGGAGAAACTAAGCAAACAGCCAGAGTAAAGATCTCCTACCACCTCACCTTTTGCTAAACCACTCAATCACCTTCCCCCTTTGTCCTTCTTCACACCTTTAGATTCTCTTCCAACACACTGATGTGTTTTGGTTAGAATTGCAAAAGATTAACCAAAATAATACTCACTGGATGTTTCAGAAATGTTTTTATTGTTTTGCTCAGGACAGTTTTCCAGAACTGCAACAGCAGTCCTTCAAAATCAAGGTTAAATGTCTCTGCAGGTAAATGTGCATAACCTGTGTTCCTGAAACAGACAGGGAGCCTTCAGTTACAATCCAGAGACACTCTCCTAAATGACAACCACATACTCGTGATGCTTCCTGCAAAAAAAGACCTTTGTGAGAGTTCTGATTTCCCCAGAGTTATACAAGAACTGAAATAATAGACTGTAATCACCCATTAGTCCAGCCCTGTGCCATAGTGGGATTTTCTCCTTATGTGATTTCCTATTGTTAGGCTAGGTTCATGTGACCCAAGCAAGAGTTACCCTCTTTCTCCATGCTTTGCTCATGTTTTCTCATTTTTTTTCTTAACCCTGCTGCTCACCCTTCACCAAAGGGCAATGACTTTATTTTACACATCTCCCAAGTCTTCACCCTGCTTGAGAATATCAGCCTCACCCTGCTACACAGGGTGTAGCAGAGAAGCTGCAGAAGGACTTTGCACAGTCAGTCCCTGACTCTTTCCCTGGTTCTCTCTCCTTGCCCCTCCTTCTTTGGAGATATTTATTCAGAGGCCAAACGAAAGAAGAAAAATACATTGCAATTAAAAATCACGTGTACAGGGCAGAACCTATGAAAAGAAGGATCAATGGAATTTCAAGGGAATTGAAAGGGAGGCATGAAGTAGAACACACAGGTAACTGGAAAGGAAATCCCCAGGTGGATAATCCAAAGTCTTCATGGAAAACGTAAGTACTGTAGCAGTCAAACTCTTGGAGGCCAGGGGAAGATGCTAGAATTGTTAATGTGCTAAAGTCCTGTAAGGTGGAACAGGTGACAGTGTAGACTATCAGTGACAAGAACAGGAGTACGAGTCTATCAGAGCTTGGCTGATAACCATGGCAGATCAAAGGATGCACACGGAACACTTGAACTTCGCCGTGGTACACAGCAGTACGGCTGTGTTAAAAAAAATAGCTTAGCTGCATTTCACTCACCTGGATGTGCCAGGTCGTGTTCCAATCTGTCCTTATTAGTCGTGACATAGCAAAAGGAAAAGTACCCCCAAAACCTGATTCAGAGCCAGTCAAGGCTACCTTGGAAAACGTCACCGCTTCTAAAGACAACACTCGTGGAAGAAGGTGCGGAGGATTCCGCGGCCGGAGCCGTTCGGGAGCGGTGTCAGCGCAGGGGCTCGGCCGTGAGCCGGGCCCGGAGGCTGCTCCGAGCGGGCCCCGCGAGGGCCGAGCCGGGGCCGCGAGCGCCCCGGTGCCAGCACGGCCGCGGAAAGCCGAGCGGCGGCGGGCAGCGGCCGCGGCAGCAGCAGCAGCAGCCCGGGCGGGGCCGGGCCGGGCCGGGCCGGGCCGGGACAGGTGCGCGGCCCCGCCGCGGGGCGGGCGCGGCGCAGGCACCGCCCGGCTGCGCGCCCTCCGGGGCGGGCCCTGCCCGCCCTTTCCGCTCCGCGCCGGGGGAGGAGCGGCTGCGGCGGCGCCGCTCGGAGCTGGGCTGCTCTGCGGGAACCGGGACCGGGACCGGGACCGCGCCCCGAGCGGCGGGGCGGGCCGCGGCGCTCAGGGCTGCGCGCCGCCGGCCGGGGCACGGCTCCGCTCCGGGGCGGCGCGGCTCCGCTCCGCGCACCCTGCGCGCCTCTCCGCCCCGCGCCGGGCAGCGCTCCGCGCCTCTCCGCCCCGCGGCGCGGCCCCGCTCCGCGCCATGCTGCCCGGGCGCTGCGCCTGAGGCGGCCGCGGAGCGGCCATGCAGCCCTCGCTGCCGTAGCTGAGCTCGGCGCTCGGCCCGGAGCCCGCGGCGAGCCCGCGGCCACCCCCCGGCGGCACCGGCGGCACCGGCGGCACCGGCACCATGAGGAGCGGCGATGACCTGGAAGGCTTCGACGGCGAGGCGTCCAGCGCCTCCATGATCTCGGCGGCCAGCAGCCCCTACCAGCCCACCACGGAGCCCGTCAGCCAGCGCCGCGGGCTGGGCGGCCTGCGCTGCGACCTGGACTACCTGCGGGGCACCTTCGGCAGGCTGAAGCTGGCCGAGGTGGTGAGTACGGCGGCGGGCGCGGGGCCGCGGCCGGCGGTGCGCGGGGCGGGCCCGGCCGGGCCGCGCGGCGCCGCCGGGGCCGCGTTCCGCCCGGGCCGTGTGCCCGCGGAGCGCCGGCACCGCGCC